CTGTGGGCACAGGGCAGGTGGGTCTGGCTCAGAGCAGCCCCCTTTGAGCGCTGTTCAGCCACCTCCAGCAGCAGCTGCCCCAAGCACATTTGTTTCATGGCCAATCCCCTATTTAATTTATTTATTAACCCTTCCCAGCCCTCTCAGATGTGACAGAGACTCGGGACGCAGACTGCAGCTAGCAGGGATGCCCCGAGCGCTGCCAGAGTTGGGATAAGCACGGGTGTGACACGGCTTTGTTCCCACACCTCGTTTCTGAAGCACCAACAAGCACCAGCCTGGGGGTGAGTGGTCCCTTCCCCTCACAGGTGACAGAGCCACCATGCAGCTCCAACGGCAGCTGACCCAAGGATTTATTTTAAGTTATTATTCCCCACTGCTCTGACTCGGTTGTGGGAAGAGCAGCGGGGCTCTGAGGAGCCCAGAGTGCAGCTCCTGGGGGAGGACAGGCAGTAAACCCTTTTTTGCACAGCAGCATCCAGCTTTGCCTGCTGCTGTGACCAGGCAGCTCCTGCCAGCACAGCTCCCAGCCAGGGCAGGACGCTCTCACCTCTACAGCTGGCAAAGCAAAGCTGATGATTTCAGGGGTTTAAAATCATTACTTGAAGTAAGAAGGTTCAGGGAGGTGCCAAACATGCACCAACCACAACCTCCCAAGGAGGGCATGGGCACTCTGAAAAAGAGACAACCACGCAGCCCACTGTGATATCAGTTGTTCCAATGCCCATGTGCCACCTCTGGCACTAAGCTATTTAAATACACACAGGTTAGTCCCATTGTCTTTACAGACACCCTCGGGCCTGCCCCAGGAGCCAGCAGCATCCATCCAGCCCAGAAACCAGGAGTTTCACACAGCATCACAAGGCCATCCCATTTCCTTCCAGCCCAGAAATGACCTTGTTTCAGCCCAAATGCAGCAGGACCTTGCAGCAACCTCGAGACACTCCACACTGGGAAAAGGCCAACATGTCACAGCCTTGTTTTTACCTGGACTGGGAGAAAAGCTCAGCTTGTTGCAGGGCTCTTGCAGGCAGCTACTCTTCACTATCTGAGGAAAACACTGAAAGTTCAGCTTGTGAAACAGTCCTTGACCTTGAAGCCAGTGGAATGTGCAGCTGTAGAGGGATTCCATCTCCTCGGGACTCCCGGCAGCTCCTGGGCCTCCCTGGTGCTCCAACAGCCAAGCCTGGGGCAGCCTGGGGCCCAGACCAGAACTACAGATGCCCCCGGGCGCAGCAGCAGCAGCTGGACAGAGACAATTGCCTTTCACCACCAGTTCACATTCTGTCAGCCAAATGTGATCTGTAGGAAGGTACTTCCAACAAATCAAGAATTCCGCAAGGGATCAAAATTCTAAACATAAATACAATTAAAGCCTTCTAATATTAATGCACACTTTTTATTATATTAAAATCAGGCAATGGTCTGGTACAATAAAAAGGCTGCTTATGGAATACTGTTATGTTAAACTTTCAGTACAGAGGATGTTAAATCCTTACAACTAATATTTTCCTCAGAAGTTAATGGAAACATCAATTTTCATTGACTTGACAGCTGCTGCTTTAAAATGTGTTTATTTTTACTATTTTATTTTTTTCCTTATTTTTTCTTTTTTTTTTTTTTTTTTTTTTTTTTTTTTTTTTTTTTTTTTTTTTTTTTTTTTTTTTTTTTTTTTTTTTTTTTTTTACACAAACACTGAATTTTTCATAAAACTTAGGACACACTAGGTTGGTTTCCTGTAAGCTTGCATCCACATTGCAGCAGTTAGTGGTCCGGAACAGTAAACCAGAAAAGGCAGTGATTTGCCAGGATGCAAAACCAATCAAGGTCCTTCATCTGCTGTGCCACCGCTTCCCCAGAATCTTCACTGAAGAGATTTCTAAGACTTACAGAACCCTCATAAAATCTGCCAGCCGGATTTGATTTGTCTGTGGTTATTACATCTTTAGAAGGGGCAAGTGCAACATTTTGTTAATGAACATTCTTGGGTCAATCCAAAGCACCAGACAGTGATTTGAGGGTACCTGGAGCGTGTTCAGAATCTCTGCTTGCAGAGTCTTCCCCACGGAGGTTTGGCAGCAGAAGGTTGGGCCATCCTGGTAAATGACTGCTCTTTTCCCCACGTCAAAGCCTATCTAAGAGCACGGCCGTGGCCAGCTGGGCGGTGTGGCAGCAGTGCTGGAGGGAAGGGAAAACCCACGTTTGCCAGCAGAACAGATACTCTTGTTTCCCAGGCTGGTGAAGACTAAATTTGTTGCAAAACCAAAATGATAAGCAGGAGGGAACAGGTCAAGTTATTGCCCCGACACTCACCCCTGGGCCAGGGGTGAGAAGAGTCACCAAGAGGGGCAAAAAGAAAGCAGCACCCCCACTAAAAAGAGGGGAAGAGGGAAGAGATAAAAAGAACCCTGAATCCCTCACCCAAAGCTCACGTCACCGGTGAGGGGAACCAGGAAGAGAAATACAATCTATGCCTTGGCCAAAGGAAAGAAGGAAAGCTTGCCCCAGATTATCAGGGCATTTAAAAAAATAATAAAAACCCAAAAATGACTACAGTCACATTCAGCCTTTACTAGAGCGAGCACAAAGGGAGGGATGACTGAGGTTAGCACACATCCCCAGTAGTAGTCCATACAGCCCAGTGTAGTACTGGAAGCAAAAACCTTTGTGTCTACTCTAATAAATAGCCCTGAGCTTCGACTCTATTGCAAAAGACAGAGAAAGAAAAAAATAACCCAGGCCAGACACACAGCAAGGTGATTGTGGGATGGATCCTTTCACAGTTAAGTTGGATGTGCCACACTGGTCTTGACAGTAATAAATTTAAATAGACTTTTCCTGATACCAGAAGTTCAGCTATGTGGACAGTGGTTACACTACAGGATTATTTGTTATAGCACAACTTATATTTCAAATGAAAAAAAAATTAGTATCATTTACAGTATCTCAAGAAAAACTTCCTTTGAATGGGAACTTCCTTTCCAGTATTTTGAGGTCTACAAGATGCATCTAGAAAATTTACTACTGTGGAAAATGAAGACAGCTTAAATTGAATAAGGGGGACATGTTGGTTTTTTTTTTTAATTAATTGCTGTAACATTGTCCTTCAGGTGGCTGAGGAAGTTTCATATTTTCTTTAGACATCATTAGACGCCGAAGCTCTTGCAGAACAACTTTGATACTATAAGAATTCTGCCATTTTGCTAGGACTGATATGGCTCTGGGGTCCACCTAAAACAGACAAAAAGAGCATTCCTGTCAGAATTGGTGCACTGGTTACACTTAACTCCCCCCCATCCCCAGCTAAAGATCCCACAAGAAATCTGGGAGGGAGAAATC